TTAACCTGGGTCAGAAAGGTTCAACCCGGGTTTGATCCGAGTTGCTATTTTTCGACCCGAGTAAGAACCCTAGTTATAGTTAGAGAGATATGATCATATAGAAAATAAACCTATCATTAAACTTATCATAAAACTTTATTTTTATGTAAATGGAACACGATAGAATTAAAGCACGTTGAAAAAAACGTTAATAATTATCATATATAATTGTCTAAAAATTTCAATATGTTTAACAGTGTTTTCGCAATTTCACCGGTGAATTTCGAATACCAGATACAGTATAATATATTACAATCTTTTAAAAAAAAAAAAAAATTCAAAAAATTATAAAGAATAATAAAAGTAGTAAAAGTTAATGATACAAATCACGTGTATTAATTTTGGCCAATATTAATAGTTAATTCTGGGAGATAATCATCACCACAAATAGAAATGATGAAATTAATTTTGATCTTTATTGACGATTTTTTAATCTTTTTAACACTATTAACGAGAGATTAATGTATAGTAAATATTTCATGGTTGATATTATCTTTTATTTTTATTTCTTCTTTATTTATGTTCTAATTAATACTGTTCATATATCAAATATAATGAAGTATAATAAATGTAATTAGCTATATTTTATATATCCGAAGTAAATTAAAAAAAATTTAAAAAACGAATCAAATATCATGTGATCTTGATGTTGCCAATCAAATTGTGTTATCGAAGTTCGAATAAGAAAGTTCGAGTAAGAAAGTAAGTTCTAGTAACGATTAGTCAAAAGTTTCAAAAGTTAAACAAATATTATTAGGTGAAAAAAATGAAGAATATACACGTGGGTTATTTGTCAAATTTGACAAGTTGACCATACCACTCTGCCATACTTTCTAATAAATCGAATGGTAATTCCTCGTGCGCGTACCAATTCTAAATTTATTGATTGGCGTATATTTTTTTTTGGGAGAATTTAAAAATGATTCTTGTGTTCAAATGGATACCGAGACTTGTGTTATGTCACACGTAATTATTTCAATAGGATTTATCTTTTATCAATTATCCTTTCAATAGTGACGGATGTACCACAAACTTGATCGAAGTGTACGAAAAACCAAATTTTAACAAATATTGAGTAAACATTTATATTAACCTATTATTACTAAAGAGCGCGTGATAAAAATTGATTAATCGTTTGGTATAATTAAAACCTTATTCTAATAATTTTTTTTACAAAACGAAAAATATTGAGTAAAATTAATATTTCGTTCGCGATTTGGTCCGACGTCACTGTGGAACAAGGCGGACCAGACCATAAGTTAGGGTTAGGGTTTTTTTACTAATAAAGTTGTCTATTACAAATAGTTAGGGTTAACATTTCTAGGTTATTCTCGGTTATGTCCTTGAATTTTTTTGTACTTTACTCTGTGAAAAATGCCGGTAATAGAAATTCAGTTGTACAAGTTTATCATATTTACGAAACACGATAGAGAAAAAACAAACACGAGAACAAAACAATTTCACAACATAATTCTTGTGTACCAGGTATAGTAAGTTTGTCCACAATATTGATATTATTTCAAAAATTAATAATAATATATGAATACAATCATTAAATAAATATTTGATTATCTAATAATTTATAATTAAATGAAAGGTTTCAGAGAAAGAAGTCTCCTTGTTCATTTTATGCATTTAGAATTGTTACGACCAATGAATCTTTAATATTGATTAATACAAAAAGAAAATTCGGCATTAGCTAAAAAAAAAAAACCAATCAAACATCGCGTGTGATCATACATAAAGAAGAAGAAGGGAATACGAATTAAAAATTCACCCGAAGCACATCAACCACATCAACAGATAAGTTAATTAATTGGTTAAAAATAGTGGTAAAGAGAAACTTGACCACTTTTATTGATTGATTGAATGAGTAAATAATTTTTTAGGTTTAATGTCTTGCTAATTTAGATGTTAGGTTAGTTTTTCTTTAAAAAAAGGAAATTTTAAATAAAAAAATAAAATTTTGAAAAATAAAAACTATTTTTGAATTACATCTAATAAATTGCGCTATGACTTTTTCGATCGCGTCACGCAAGTACAAAATCCAAGTAGGACTGTAGATATGAAAAAGGTACGTACAGTACTTCCAAGTTAATTTTCTTGTACTATCTCAAATAGAAGTCTCGATTCATAATTAGTGTTTGGTGGTTAGCAGGTGTAAAATAACTTATGCGAAGTATTATTGATGCAGAAGTATCACAACTGATTTATTTTTAAACCAAGTGTAAATAAAACTATTACATTACAATCAAGTTGATAAAAAAAGTGGGTAATTGTATTTACGTGTCAAAATAAATGTGGCTTAAAATCAAACTCCGAATCATATATTCTAAAAACGCGTAACTATTTCAAATGTAAAAGTCAAAAATTACTATTTTTGAATTTGATGTATGCAACACGTATTACTTCATGTATTTCATTTATTGACAATAAATTTCGCAATCATGGTAATAGTGTGGTAATACGTTGCAGACTGACAATGAATGTTCGAAATTGTGGTAATAAGAGGTAATAAGAGGTAATAAGAGGTAATAAGAGGTAATAAGAGGTATTACGAGGTATTACGAGGTAATACGTTGTAGAACATCCTGAAAAAAATGCACATATTCACCTGCATTATCCCAGGTAACAACGGTTGGTAAATTTGATAAATCCTTTTTATTTTTTTTATTTTATTTATTTTATTTATTTATTTATTTTTTTTTATTTTTTTTTTTTAGCTAAAGAAAATTGCTAATTTCAAAAAATTCTAAAGAGTAAAAGAAACTTAAGGAGAACGTTTCTAAATACATGCAGGAAGCATGACGCGGAGTTTTATTTGATGAAAAGATTTTTATTACCTGAATGCCTGTATTATGCAGTTTAATTTACAGTAACTTGATTCATAAAAACAATTCGTCGCTCGTCGCGTCAAGAATTAGCAAATTTTATTAAATTAACCTGTTTCAAAGTTAAAGATACGTGAATATGAAACGAGAGGGAAAAGGTCTTAGTATTACAATTAAGTTTATCCATAAAAAAAAAACGATAACTCATCTAGTTACACGCGATAACGACGGTGAAACTCGGATTTTTGTAAAATATAAGTAGATACTAATACAGATACTAAGATAGATACTAAAAACAAATACTAAGATAGATATGGGAATGCATTTATCCGAACACGCAAGAACAAATTTTGTTATCTCGGTAAATAATAGATGATTGCATGAACGCATAATTTTGCGCGAGTATTTATCATTTCACAAGAAAACAATTATGCAAAGAAAAGAACGCCGTAACTCGTTAAATCAACCTACATAACCTACATAGCAGATAGTTAAATTGCACGTACATTACATGCACACGAAGAATGAATATATTCATTTGATAAAAAAAATTTTTTTTTAAATTCAATATTAAATAACTGTTTAGAAATAACTATTAATAAAGTTTATTGGCTTACTTTCAAAAATTTAGTAGATCACGTATGATCTAAGATTTCATCGATTTTAATTTCTTTTGCATTAATATGATTTCAAACAGGCGTCTCTTACATGTTATAAAAAAACAATTTTTTAGATCAATGTGAGTTTGATAGGTTTTTGTTAACGCAGGGACGTTACACTCGTTCTTGCATAATTCTCAAAGCCTTGAAATCTATCGATAGAAACACTTAAGAATCGCAATCTATGGTTAATTTACAAAATAGGATAATAAATGCTATATGCTATATGCTATTAATTAATTAATTAATGCTATTCGAATAATAATCTTATTCGAGATTTGATGCCTCTATTTACACTAACATAAGTCATGACGTGAATCAAAAAAAAATATATTCCCATCACTTTGATAAAAAAAGATAAGAAGCATACATACATAAAGACTTTTTTGTCATTTAATAATGAAAGAAATGGAATCGAATTTACAGTACATGAATGCGAGATTCTGCAAAAATTTATAAATTCACGATAAAAAATTTCACTTGAATATAGTATTAGAATGTTAGAATGCAAAAAAAAATATTTTATCCAACGAAAATTCGGCATCTAATCTCAGAAAAAAAAAATTTTTTTTTTTTTATCATGATAAATTAATTAATTAGGAAATCTCGGCTCGCATTTATGTGATTTAAGCATATATAATCGGCATTCCTTTGCCTAGCATTAAGAATTAGTGAGCTGACACGAGATAACGATCTAATTTACACAAAAAAAGAGCAGTGTGCGCCGATGTACTGTACATCAAAAAAAAAAGATTCTTAGTTCGGTTGTTTCCTCCGAAGGTTCATAATCCTTTGATAATTTCAAAGAATGTCAGAATACTTGATAGGCTATAATTGTTCTGATATGAACAATACTGATGAAAAATATATTCTTACATTATTTTTATTAATTATAAAATAAATTATCGTGAGAAAAACTTGTTATATTTACTATTAAGAAGAACGATAATAATATCATTATATGATTTGATAAACACGTCGTGAAACTTTAAAAAAAAAAAAAAATCCATCAGGGGAATCATTATTAATAAAATAGTTAGAACAATATTTATGCTAACCTCGCATGTAAACCATGATAAAAATAGGTTTCACCTTTAGTATTTTTTTTTTCTTTTTGTTTCACAACAGTTTATCAAACTATGACCACCAAATCTTTGTAAGGAAAAATAACAAAGTTTTGCAAAGCGTAAAGCAGGATTGTATTTTACTTTGATAGAAAAGGCATAAAATTCCAAAAATCATTAAGATCAATTTTTGAATTATAACATTAAGTTTGACAAAAAATTTTACATTAGCATCGTGAGACCTATGAACGTTACTGATTATACCCTGACGGGAATGAACGCGACACTTGTATGCAAAAACCAAAATGAAACCTAGGGGCACGGAAGTGAATGCGTTTATAGGGAAGTAGGTTCATGGATTGCTGGATTGGAAAAAAAAAAACTGTGCAGATGTTATCAAATAAATAATGACAAATGAAAATCTTTCTGAATCAGGTGATTCCGAACAAACTCCTATTAAAATAATAAGGGTTACATTGGGCAAGTTTGTCCTACAATAACATTAATGCCGGGATTGTTAATATGGCTTTTTAACGGGTTGATTGTCACACTAATTTCATTTTCTACACAAACAAACATTGGAAGTTACTCAAACTTGGTACACAAAAAAAGAAAAACGTGTTAAATAAAAAAATATCATCATTTTTTATTGTTGATTATTTTTTGGCACTCCACAAAAGATTCGTCTTTTACTTACAAGTCTTGGTTCTCAATAAATTTTTAAAATCGCCAAACTGATTTCGGTATTTCATTCAATTTTACTATTTGAATAAAAGGATAAATAAATAAATAATGATAGATAAATATAAAAAAAAAAAAGTAAATAAATAAGTAAAATACGTACATACATATAAACTCCGTGAAACAACTATAAACTGGTTATCAAATCTATCAATAGTCTATCAATAATTAAAATGTCACGTTTTTTTTTTTTATTACATAATAGTCAATCAAAAATCTGTTGTTTGATTGAAAGAGGTCCACAAATAGAGCCATGAATGATTTATTTCACTTATCTTGCTAGATGATTTTGGTAATGCTTTTCGTTCCCCCAAACACGTACTCCTTTTTTGCTTATTTTAAAATTACAAATACGTGATTACTTATTTAATGACGTTGCCTACATCTCCTTTGGCCATGTTGATGATGTCATTGACGGCGCATAGAGACTAATATAAAAAGGTTATGATACTCCAAGTGCATAAGCCATTTGATCACACGCTCTTTTATAATTAGTCCAAAAGATTCTTTGTGATGATTATTTCCGAATCAATTTTTAGATTACTTATTGTTCAGTGCTTTTCTATATTCGGTAAACAAGTTTTTACTTATGCTTGTTGATAATTAATACCGATTCCAAAAAAAACTCCGACATACCATAAATATTCCATTTATGCAAGCAAATGTTTAATGTGGTGAAACTCGGCCGCCGACTTGTATCAATTTGCGTATTTCTTTTTAGGAGTGACCCGAGTATCACTATCTTCCGCCGACATCCTGCATGTTTAGGAGCGCATAAACTTTTAATTTTATAAAGTTTCATTAATATGTACTACATATCTTTATTTGTTATTATATATGTTATTAATAATAATTTTCTTTTGAAAAAATAATATAAAGTATTATTATTAATTAAATGTTATGTATATAATTAATAATAGATCAGTTCTTAATATCACTTTTTTATATCAATTCTTTATATCAATTCTTTATATCAGTTTCATTATGTCTGATCTTCAACTTATCCAACTTTATAAAAAAAATTTTTTTTTATTATTGAAAATGGACGCGATTCGCGTATTTCAAACGTGTATACAATACGTTATATCATGTTGATTGCTATAAACAACGCGACTGGCAGGTGATAATCAATTTTAATACGCGTATATCATACATATATTAGAAATTATAGATCGTTATTAGATTTTAAGATGTATTAACTGATCTGGGAATAAAATTTAAATGACGCGACTTTTTTTAAAAAAATGCAGTAATAATTGATTATAATAATAATTGATTATAATAATAATTGATTATGATAATAATTGATTATGATTATAATAAATAATAACAATTGATTATGATTATAATAAATATAATAATAATTGATTATAATAAATATAATAATAATTGATTATAATAAATAATATATAATAATAATTGATTATGATTATAATAATAGTAATAATTATAATGAGTATAATATTATAGTAATAATTATAATAATAAGTATTACAATTCATAATTATAATTTCATATTCATTTATTATTGTTATGTATTATTATTATTATTATTATTAACACGTAAATTTATTTATCTTTATTTTCACTCTACATTTTTTTATAGATTAACAAGAAAAAAAGAGGGGTGGGAAAAAAACGAAACAGATCATATCATAAAAATAATCTATATTGGATTTAAAATTTTCTTCTATTTACAAAACAAGAAAGATTCAAAATCAAATTAATTAGTTAATTGAATTACCAAATTCATCAAAAAGAATAATGGTAATAATGGTTAAATTTTCGGTCTTAGTTTTAATTTTGGTTTTAGTAAAAAAAAAGTTAGCAATTAATAAAAAAAATTAAATTATGTATGAGCATTATTGGTTGATAATTGACTTTTATATAATAATATATATAATAATACTTTATGTGTATTAGGAGAGAAAATAAAACTTTGTTGATCTAATAAAATTCTCTGCACTTTTTAAAAATAGTTTTCTTTATGTAATGCAGTAATGACTTTCGCATTTGTAATACTATAAATATTAATTAACATCAAGTTTTTTAAATCGTGTCATGCTTGTCTTTACACATAATCTAACATGTATATCACGATTATACATACTATCAATTTCAAGTCTAGAAATCATGCAACTTACTACAGACAGGCAGAACTACAGATACAGACTGCTACAGACACAGACTACTGCAGACAGTCACTAGGTTTTTTTGGTTTAATGGTAGATCGTGATAGATAAAATAATTTTGTGCGGAGAAATGCGTATATAATACATGTTTAATGAATTAAATTTGTGTATTCAGTAAATTCTTTCCGAATTTATAAATTTACCATATGCTAACATTACCTAACATTACCTAACATTACCTAACATTACCTAACTTTACATAGAGAAATACGATTAGTGATGATCTTATGTAACTTATATTGATGATTATTGTTATAAGTGGATATGAACGCATGTATAGAACGCGTAAATGTAAGTATGTGGGAAGTCATTTATTTTTAAATTTATATAACGTGATGCCGTACAATGTAGATTCGTTTTTTTTTATAAGCCAATTACGACCTAATTAACAAAATTAGTAAAAACTTGTGTTGATTGAATTTTATTCGTACGTTTAAAATTTCAGTTCAAGTTCTAGTCCCCTAAGGATACATTTATAACCGAAACTTTTAACACTTATCTGATAAAAAATTTCTTAAAATCAACATAAATATATGCATGTTACGTAAATCCATGAAGCACGTAATAAAACATAGCATAAAATGAACTTATTAGATCTGCAAATCTATTTCTTATCAGACAAGCGAATGAGGAATTACGTATCATCTTAACTTCAACGGTCAAATGAATTTTTGATCTTGTCTGAATTTAGTTTTATCAAGGGGCTAAGGTAAGATAGGATCTACTTGTTGCCTAAACTATTCTTTGAATGGTCTTTTCTCATCTCCCCCCCTTCCTCCGCATTGACTTACTAATTTATGGATTTTCTTATTCATAAATTCATAGTTGGTGATCTTTAATGATTCCTCTAAAAGGAATTTTTATTTTAATTGAACGCGTCTATGGTAAGTTAATATGGTAAGTTAATATGGTAAGTTGATATGGTAAGTTGATATGGTAAGTTGATATGGTAAGTTGATATGGTAAGTTGATATGGTAAGTTGATATGGTAAGATGATGCTGATGTTATTGTACTCTCCGATGCAGACTATCTATCATATTTAATCGTTTGAATTTTTAAACCGTATCTCATAGACATGATTTTCTATTTACGCTTCGTGTCACTGTAAACACTTTAATGAATAATATTTCAGAAAGGTTCCTAAAAATCCTTGACATTTGAGTTACCACCTGATGTATACTTATGTACGCTGATATAGTAGTAAATCGTTTGAAAAAAAAGGAAAATTAAAATAAAATCCGTATATTTTTATTTTATTATCTTTATATATATTCGTCATACAAATTTTTTTTTTTTATATTGTTTATCAAAACTCCTTTTTAAAATTCCTTTTTTAATTTTTTTATTCCAAATTTGAACATTTATAAATTATTTTTTGGTAATTTGTTTTTTTTAATAGCCATTCTAATTATTCTAATTATGTAAATTTCTGGATTACAAGATTACCTTTTCATTCATTCACTCATTCCTCACTCCCCATTCCTCACTCCCGAAAAGAGTATTGCGAAACGTAATTTCTTTTGTACTTACGTACGAAATGTTATTCAAATAAGAATGAATTCATTGGATTTGTGTAACTTTTAAATGTCCCAATTAAACAAAAGTTTTTCTTTCATATCTTTGTACAATATATATTATCACGCATATTATTACGAATGTTGCGTAAACGTTAATATGTTATACGAAAAAAAAAAATAAAATAAAATAAAACATCAATTGAAAAACCAGGTCCTTTAACTGTGGCTTTACCAAATTTCGTAAACCTTTTTCTGTTTTATAAGTAACCACTAAAGTATGCATCGTGCATGTTTGTTTACGTGTACAGTATGTTACTATTATTTCAATGGTCACTTACACGAGGTAATCCTTTTGCATATGAAATAAATAAATAAATAAATAAGCAAATAGGTCATAATTAAGGTTGAATACCGTGAGACAAATCAGGCATATTCATAGTTCGTGAATGTATGCTATTGGATTACTGATAAGGATTATTTGATCTGAGCTTTTTTTATATATTCTCGAATTAAATAATACGTAGTATGTATTTTTTTTGAATAATATTAAGAATTAATATGAATTTTTTAATAAGAATATAAATAATATTAAGAATTTATTATTTTTATTATTTTTATTAAATAAAACATAATTGTTTTTTAAAAGTGTTACAATTTATGTTTTTTTGTTATACCACGATTGCAGAAAACTAATTGCATACATAATGATTAACTTGAAAAATTGAAAGCATTATCTTTTAATTAAATGATAATCGCGTTCAATTGGATCAAAATATTAAAATTTTTATGTAAATCAAATTTTTTATTTTTTTTTTTATTCTCATGTTGTGTCAATTTGAATATCAATTGTGTCATTAAGAAACCAGCGATTTCCTGCAATTAAAATTTTTACTAAATTAAAATTGATATACACAAGGATTTTAAAGATGCAAAGATTCAGCAGTAACGCGCATCAACATAAAAAAGTCGTGTTCATAACAATATACATTTTATTCACAAATGCCAGTTTAAAGATTTATCTGATCGCTTAGTTTAATTGATCCGTATGCATGGTTATTCGTGTTTACATACTGTGCATGTTAATAAAAATGAATAAAATATTATGTTTTTGCCGCAGTAACTCCCTCTACACCAATCAATTATTAATTGTATTCATTAAATGCATGATCAGATTTATTTTTAAAACATTTAAATGAAATTGTTATGAATACAAGTACAATCACATGATATTCTGTGTCAATTTCTGCCTACTAAATACCTATGAATCATTCGAGACTTATCTTTTTTTGAATTCACTCGTTTTTAGAATTTCCTTATTTGTAGCATAACATTGTCGAGAGAATTAAATACACGAATTACTGGTAAGATCTTGGTTTTTTTTTTTGTTTCCAGTAAGCACGATATCTTTTAAACATAAATTAAGGTATACTTGTACATCTGTTCTTTTTTTCATTTACGATCGAATTTGGAGAAAAGGATGTGATAGCTACAAAAGGCAACATTTTACTCTTGTTTCTCTGTAATTTTTTATCTCGTGCTGTTCGTAT